CTCTCTCCCTCTCACTTTCCTCTCTCCTCTCTCACTTTCCTCTCTCCTCTCTCTCTCCTTCTCTTTCCTCTTTCTCTCCTCTTGTCTCCTTTCTCTCTCTCTCTGTCTCTCCCTCTCTCTCTCTCCTCTTTCTCTCTCTCTCTGTCTCTCTCTCTGTGTCTCTCTCTCTCTCCTCTTTCTCTTTCCTCTCTCCTCTTTCCTCTCCTCTCTCTCTCCTCTTTCCTCTCCTCCCTCTGTCTCCTTTCTCTCTCTCCTCTCTTTCTCTCTCTGTTTCTCTCTCTGTCTCTCTCCTCTCTCCTCTCTTTCTCTCTGTCTCTCTCTCCGTCTCTGTCTCTGTCTCTCTCTCTCTCTCTCCTCCTCCTCCTGCTAACTCAGAAAGTCCCTAATCTTTCCTCCAATAAGAAATCAGATTAACTAATCCAATGTCCTGTTCTGTATCTTGTTTATTGTTTTCTTTGAATGTGCAAAAATCTGTGCAAGGTCTGTACTCAAGGTCTTTGTACCTACTGAGGGGCCTTGGACCCAATTTGTTCTGCAACTATATGCCTTGCAGACAGATGGCATAGCTCAGAATTTATTTCTTCAGTTATTCTAAATTCACCCTTGACAGTGGGGATGTGAAGCTAAGGCTCAATTAATCCCGTACATCAGGCATTTATTAAACACTAGGGACCAGACCTGGGGTTATGAAGACAAAAGTATCTCTGTCATCAAAGAGCTAACATTGTAACAGGGAAGACACATAAGTATACATATAAAACACGCAGATATCTATCAAATAACACAAACAGCAGATAGAAGGTAACATTAGGCACTGGCATTAAGGTTGTGTGTGTGTGTGTGTGTGTGTGTGGTTTTTATGAGGCAGCTAGGTGGCTCAATGGAATACTAGACACCACAGCTTAAATCTGGCTTAGACACGTAGTAGACGTAGGGCCCTAGACAAGTCATTTAACTGCTGTCTGCCTCAATTTCCTCAATTGTAAAATGTAGCTAATGATAGCCCCTACCTCACAGGGTTGTGAGGATCAAACAAAATGATCTTCATAAGTGCCCAGCACACAGTGGACACTTAATAAATGCTTGTGATTTTTCCCCTTTTTTATGTCAGGGACCCTTTTGACAGTTTGATGAAGCCTATAGACCCCTCTTCTTGTGGATAAATACCTAGAGTTTTAACATAAACTAATTAAATTAAAAATATTTGCCAAAATATCTTTTTAAAAAACAAGGTCACAGGAGGCAGCTAGGTGATGCAGTGGATAGAACACCGGCCCTGGAGTCAGGAGGACCTGAGTTCAAATTCGGCCTCACACACATAACACACACTAGCTGTGTGACTCTGGGCAAGTCACTTAACCCCCATGGCCCTCACCACCACCAACAACAAATCAACAACAAAAAAAAAAAAAACAAAAGCAAACACCAAGGTCACAGACCCCAGGTTGAAAAGCCTGCACTACCCATCTGAAAAGATCAAGAAAGACCTCCTGAAGAGGTGGGGTTTGAGCTGAGTCTGGAAGGAGGCCAGAGATTCTAGGAGGCAGAGAGTGTTCAAGGAAGGAGCCACAGCCTGGGCAAAGGCTCAGAGAGGGGAGATGGGAGTGGAACAATTATCGCTTGGTCTCTGAGCTCCTGGCATTTTCTCTGGCTGTCCCCCATGCCTGGAACTCTCTTCCCTCCTCCATTCCAATTACTGACTTCTCTGACTTCCTTCAAGTCCCAACTAAAATCCCACCTGCTACAGAAAGCCTTCCTGACCCCTCCTAATTCCAGCGCTTTCCTTCTGTTAATTATTTCATATTTATCCTGCCTATAGCACGTTTACACATATTTGTTTGCTTGTTATTTCCCCATTAACTAGACTGTGAGCTCCTCAAGGGCAGGGACTGTCCTTTGTCACTTTTTGTATTCCCAGAGCTCAGCACATAGTAGGTGCTTAATGTTTACTGATTGTTGTCTTTCCCACTAGACTGTGAGCTCCTTGAGGGCAGGGGCTGTTTTCTGCCACTTTTTGTATTTCCCAGGGCTTGGCACAGTGCCTGGCACATAGTAGGCACCTAATAAATGGCTATTAATTAATCGGTTGACGTCACTAATTGGAAAGAGGCAAGTTGGGAAAGGCTTTAATGGCCATACCTTCCCCCCAATTCTAAGAGGTAGGCTTTGGGGGGGGCTAAGGGGCAGGGCGGAACCGGATGCGCCCCCTGGGGCGCTCGAGGCCAACCCTCCCATTTTGCAGATGGGGTAACTACGGCTCAGGGAGGACGAGGGTCTCGCCAAGGTCGTACAGCCGGGCTCTCTCCCAGCCCCGGGCTCTCTCCCAGCCCCAGCCTCTCATGTTACAAATAGCGGACGGAGGCCGCTCAGAACGACCCGGGGGCACCAGGGAGAAGCGGCCGCTCGTCACGCCCGCGGGGCGTTCACGTCCCCTCCCTCGCTCGCCCCACCCACTTCCGGCCCTTACGGCGAGCGAAAGTCCTATGCTGTGCGCATGCGGCCCCAGGCCCCGCCCCCTCCGCTCGCACGGGAAGCCGGAAGTGGCTGCAGGAAGTGACGCAAGGCCGACCCCGGAGCGGAAGTGACGCTCGCCGTGCCCTTGACGGGCGGACAGGGCCAGGCCGGGCCGGGCCGCAGGGGGCAGGGGCGGAGGCAGAGGAGAGGCGAGGACGGCCCGGCTGCCTCCGCTCGCTCGGGCTCGCGGCCGCGCTCGCGCCGCAGGGAGGTAGGAGGCGCGCGTGGGGAATCCCCGGGGCGGGCGGCGTCCAGCTTCCTCCCGGGTCCGTCCGCCCTGGCGGCCCCCTCCCCAGCCCGGGCCCCGCGTTCCGCCCCGCCGCTGAAACACAGGCCCCGGGGTCACGCCGTCGCCAGCTCGCGCGGCCGCCGGGGCTCCCCCACGGCCCTTAAGGCCGTGCCCGCTCAGTCGCCTTCCGCGTGCCGGGCAGGGGTCTGGGCGCTGGGGATGACCGATCAGCCGTAAACACTTAGGATTCCCGAAATAGCCCCTGCCCTCCAGGGCCTCTAGACCTCAGTGACCGTCGCCAAGCTGCCGTCTCCCCCCTCCGTGCCTTTGCCTGAGCCGTCCCCCCACACCTGACCTGCGCCTCTCAGAATCCTTCCCCAGCTTCCTTCGGCGCCCCCTTCCCAGCCACCATCTCCTCCTGCTCACATTCCCTGCCTGTTGGCCGTGGCTCCTCCCTGGTAGAACGAAAGCTCCTCGAGGGTAGGAACCGCCTCCTCTTTGTGATTTGGGGCCCCAGGCGCTAGTCGGGGACTTTGCAGGTGGTGATGCACCTGCCTTGTAAACGATTGCAACGTCGTGTGCCGAGTCATTTCTCTTTGGGCCTCAAGTAAAAAGAAAGGCTGGAACTGGATGACCTCTGCAGTTTCTTCTTGTTGTAAATCCTATAATAATTGCAATCGTTTGCATTTACGTGGTGCTTTAAGGTTTGCAGAGAGCTTTACGCCTTGCCTCGTTGGATATTCCGATCCTACCTAACATGAGGTCTTAACTTTTTGTCCCGGGCTCTCGGGGAGTCAGTCTGTGAAGCCTAAGGACCTCTTCTCAGAATTGTGTTTTTAAATAAAGTACGTCGGATTACAAAGGAAACCAGTTATATTGAAATAGTTATAAAGATATTTTTTTTAAAAAGTCCCAGGTTAAGAACCCGTGCTATATAGGGATGCCTTCATACGTTTAGAAGTCAAGGGGCCATGGAAACCTGTGGAATCTTCACCTTCGGCTTTCCTGGCCGATCCCTCCATCCCCATAAATGATTTGGCCCAGGAGGAAGAGCCAGGATTGACCCATGGTTCCCAAGGGCTCTTACTTGAGGGAAAGTCTCCTTGTTTTGGAGACAGAAGATCTGTGTTCAAATTTCCTGTAACCTGTGTGACCGAGTGCTATGTCTTGCTATTTTAACCTCTGAATTGTCTCTCCCTTCTGACGCCTTTTCCCCATTCACACTGCTACCCCCTTAGTTCAAGCCTTCATCACCTCTAGCCTGGATCATTGCGACAGACTCCTAACTGGTCACCCTGCCTCCAGTCTCACCTCTCCAGGTCATCCTACACACACAGCTGCCAAAGCAACTTTTTTTTTTGGTGAGGCAGTTGGGGTTAAGTGACTTAATCCAGGATCACGCAGCTAGTGAGTGTTATGTGTCTGAGGCTGCATTTGAACTGAGGCCCTCCTGACTCCAGAGCCAGTGCTCCATCTACTGCGCTGCCTAGCAGCCCCCAAAGTAACTTTTCTTAAGCATAAATCTGACAGTGATTCCCCTACTCAGCCTCTCTGGTGTCTTCTTACTGCCTCTAAGATAGAATGTAAACCGTTTAGCTTCCAAATCCCGGTGTAACTTGGTCCCGGCCTATCTTTCCAGCCTCTTTGGTTACCGTGGGTAGTACTAGACTTGGAGTTAGGAAAACACTTCCTAGCTGTGTAGTCCTGGGCATCACTCACCTGTTTGCCTCAGTTTCCTCAACTGTAGAATGGGGTGATAGTAAGAGCACCTCCCTCCAGGTGGTGTTATAAGGATCAAATGAGGTAATGTGTAAAGTGCTTTCTGTAAAGAACCTTAAAGTTCAATAGACGTGCAAGCTAGGTGGGCACCGCACTCAAGCACCATCTTCTGCACGAAGCCTTTCCTGCTCCCCCCAGCTGCTGGTGCTCTCCTTCCCATGATGCTCTGTATTTAACTACTCGTGTCTGTTAACTTTTTGTTTGTGTCCTGTGTGTTTTTCTGTTAACTTGTATCCCCCTTTAGGATGTGAATTCCTTGCACTTCATGCTCGTCTGCCCCAGCGAGGGGGCCTGGCACGTAGTAAGTGCTTGTTAAATACTTGTGGATCAGTTGATTATCTGACTCAGGTCAAGCCTTTCCCATCTGGGCTTCAGTGTCCTTGGCAGTACAAAGGGAAGTTGGACTAGATGATGGCTTAAGGCCCCTTCCAGGCCTGGCATCCCAGGGGCTCTTCCCGCTGTTCTGGAGCACTTTGTGTGACTTTCTCCTTTGTCCAGATGTGCTGTTTGCTTCTCTTGCCCCCTCCCGTCGGAGGAAGCTTCTCAAAGGAAGCTGCTGGGTCTGTGGAGCTGACTCACAAGAGCCACCTGGTAAATCTCTGCAATGGGGGAGTTGAGCTCTACCTCTCATAGGGACCTCGTGAGCACAGTGTGCCCAGCTAGTGACGCAACTAGGTCATGCTGAAGCTACAACTTCAGCCCAGGCCGAACCGTCCCCCTATCTTTTAGTTTTCCTCACGCCTGCCTTGTTTTCCTTTGCCTTCCACTTTTCCCTTCATCTTCCCTTCTGCTATTCATCCTTTTTTCCCTTTCTCTCTGCTCCTCTTGGGGCATCTCCCTGCCTTGTATTTGGACCCCTTCAGTCGGCTTCCTCTCTGTTTCCCTTTGGTGTTCTTGGCAGCCTTGTTTCTGCTTCAGGTAACTGCTGTCCTCTCCGTTTTTTCCTCTTGTAGATGGCTCAGCGCATGGTCCTCAGGAGATTCCTGGCCCCTATTTTGTCCAGGAGGCTCCCTCAGTGTCGCTGGGCACCTCTCCCTCCTGAGATTCTAGCCCAGGGCGGCTCTGGTAGACCAGCCGCTGCACCCAGTGTGGCCCGGACATTCTTCACCACCAAGATCTCAAAGGTCACATTTAACGTCCAGGATGGGCCCGACTTTCAGGACAGAGTTGTCAACAGTGAGACGCCGGTAGTTGTGGATTTCCATGCGCAGTGAGTAGTGGGCATATGCAGAGGGTGGGGTCTCTAGGTCTGAAGTTCACATTGCCATGAACCTACCTTGTTTCCAGGGCCCCACCTCTGGAATACTTTTCAAAATTATGCTCAGTTTGAATAAATGTGGTTTTTTAAAAAGTATGTCTAAAGTACCATTAGAGGGCAGTATTTGGCCTCTTGGGTTTCTAAACAGTTTAATAACCTTACAGATAAGTCCTCTGTATTTTTAAGTTATTGTTCTCCAAAACTGGGGAAGGCCTATGAAAATTTATCAACGCCTTCCCAGTGGTTTCACCCTAAATGGAAATGTCCTCAGCAAGAGGTGCAGTTGGTCATGTGTTTGCTTGTTGTTTTTTGAGTTTAAAGCACCCAGAGCCTCCCTTTGAAGCCTGACCTGATTTCTTTTTTTTTTCTTTTTTTTTCTCTTTTTTTTTTTTTTTGGTGAGGCAGTTGGAGTTGACTTACCCAGAGTCATACAGCTAGTAAGTGTTATGTTTCTGAGGCCGGATTTGAACTCAGGTCCTCCTGACTCCAGGGCTAGTGTACCATCTAGCTGCACTTGACCTGGCCGCAGTCAACTAAAGGGGAGTTCCTTAGACCCCCCCTTAGGGAGGTGAAGCGTGAGAACTGGAGGTGCTCACAATTTAGGACCTGGGAGGCCTCCCGACTTCTTCAACTCTGCCAAACACTTGGGTTGTCCTCTCTCTGTTTCGTTCTCTGACTTACTCTCTTCCTCATTTGTCCAAGAACATAATATTTCCTGGATTGGGCTCTGAGAGTTCTTTGATTGAAGTCCCTGAATCCAGGGGATTGCTGAGTGTTTGGTGATGGCACAGTGGTTTGCACCAGCTCCAGAGAAGCAGTCCCCCTAAGAAAGGGTTGTGTTTGGTAAAGGGACTTTGTCCCCAGCCCTCCCCCTCTGCCGCCCAGGTTGCTGCCGGGGACAGTGAATTTAAAGCACCTGGGCCACAGATTCTCTTCCTTCTTTATGCATCCTGTGCTGCGTTAGGGCTCACTGACTGAACCCAGCCTCCCTCCTGGTGTTGGAGGTGAAGCCACCCTTTGAGGAGCCCTGTTCATTCCAGATCGGAGGCCAAGGCTGCCTTCTGGCAGTCAGCACAGGCCCCCTTCCTGCTAATGTTCAGCCAGGGCTCACACATTGGATGGTGCTTCCCAGGAGGACTGACGTTCTCTTGTGAGGGAAATGTATTTAAATGGAGATACACTGAGAATTTTTTGAAGCCGAGGCTTGAGTTGCTGAGTTTTTCATACCTCACTTTACACACTTCTTTTTTAAAGGTTTTGTGGATAATTTTTGATTTTTCGTCCTCATCACATCCTAATAAGCCTGCCTGCCCCTGGTCCCCACAGAACCCTCCAGCAGGGGAGTGAGACCAGTCATGTCTGACAGAGATGCTTCCTTTCCTCCCCTTCTTGAGGTGGTGTGGCCCTTGCAAGATCTTGGGGCCCCGGTTAGAGAAAATGGTGGCAAAGCAGGAGGGGAAGGTGCTGATGGCCAAGGTGGACATTGACGACAACACAGACCTCGCCATTGAGTATGAGGTATGGAATCGGTGCCAGCAGTGACCCTGGAACCCCAACCCACAGAGCCTCCTGCTCCCTTGAACCCTAGGATGGCATTGGGGGGTCTGTAGCTTCATTCTCCTCCCCACACATCCCTGCCCCGGACAGAAATGCCAGTTAGGGTCGTTGATGTGCCCGGTAGTCTTGCTTTAGGCATCAGGGCCACCGTGCCAACCCATCTGAAGGCCTACAGCTGCCCTGAGAAAGAAGGGAGTGGATGAGCTGGCCTCTGGGAGCTCGGTGCTCTAAATCTGAGATCCTCTGATGTGTCGCTGTCTGGGGAGGATGTCCTTCTGAGATGCTTCAGGGCTTCCTTGGAAGGATTGGGCTAAAGAGCACACACCACTCGCTCCTCCTACCACTTCTCTGAACAAAATCTTGTATCATTTTGTAAAGAGCATTCATTGATCCCCAGAGACAGATCTTCCCAGATGCCCCCCTGGAGCAGCAAAGATTCCGATGCCCATTGCCCCTTGCACAGCCAGGGAGCCCACCAGGAGCCTCAGAGTCCTGGGGGAGCTGCGCCATGACGGTCTGTGTGGAGGGATTCCGGGTAGGCCCGGAGCAGTGATCAGTATGGGGGCAGCAGCACGCCAGAGGGTTCCAAGTGCCCAAGCTTCAGCCAGGTGGTGTGTTCAGAGCAGATGGCCGAGATCCCGTGTCCGGCAGGATTCTTGTTGATTCCTCTCCCCCAGGCCACCTTCCTCCTCCCTGCTCAGTCTTTTATCTCCTCTCTTTCTGGTGAAATGAGAAGGGGATCTCAGCTCACGGACCCAAAGCTTTCTGAAAATCAAGGAATTTTGGCATTGGAAGAAATAGGGACTAGATCTATGATACCCTTGCATAAGTACACACCCTCTACCAGTATAGGCTGGCACCTTCTCTGAGATTGACAGTCCTAGAGGGTCACAGAATTGAGAGTTTCGGCCACTTGCCCACGAAGGGCCCAGGTCTTCCTGGCTCCGAGACTGACTCTGTCCGTTGCACCACATCTCTGCCAGTTGCTCACTCCAGCTTCTTCCAGATCTCCTGGAGGGAAACTCGCTGCCACTCAAAGAAGCCTCTTAGAGTTGAGTTCATTTCCGGTCATTAGGGAGGTTTTCCTTCAACTGAGCTGAAATCGGCCTCCCTGTAACTGCCCTCTGGGCCAGACTGAGATGTAGGATTAGCATGTTAAACAGAGTTCCTTAATTTTTGCTTTAGATGCATTTCCTCATACTCTCTTAGATCCCCCTCTCTTCTCCCCCGCCATATCCTCAGACACATTCATTTGTTCTCTGAGACCAAAGCCCACTCCCCTGCCCCCACAATTGGTGTACCCCTGGCCAGCTGCCCAACTTCAAATTTCACAATCCTCAGCAGATTCCCCAGGGAGGAGTAAGGGGGAGGGAGACCCCCTCAGAGCTTTGGAATGTGTGTACATTCTTTGCCTTGTGTTTCAGCATGCCCCCCAGGCTCCAGACTGTCCTGACTACACATAACCCACATCCCTCGAGTGTTTGTTTCTTCCAGAACCAGTCCCCTTCTCAGGTTTTCTGTGGATAAAGCAACACCTTCTTTTCTCTTTATTATTCCTGTTGTCCTGCCCTTTGCGCTTTGCCCTTTGCCCTTTGCCCTCCCCACCCCCAACCTCACTTGGTTTTGGAGTTGGTGAAATTGTCTTTCTCAGCCCAGCAGGACTTTGTTCTGGCTACTGGCCAGCTTGAGATAAGAACAGAGAGAGCCCCAGCTGGGGGGCAGAATTAGGAAATCTTCAAGCTTTCAAGCTTTGTTCAAAACCTTCCTCTTACCCAATGTAGAGTAACTACTTAGGAGCTGCCTAGAAGGGTTGATCCAGAGTGCAGACATCTCTCTCTCTCTCTCTCTCTCTCTCTCTCTCTCTCTCTCTCTCTCT